CTAGATCATGATTTTTCATGGTGTCATGAAGAGCAGCTGTGCTCTGGAAACTTTGACGATCAGTTACTGTTAAATAATGCGGTAAAAAAAATATCATTGCTATCATCGTATAATATACGAAATGATCAAAGGAAGTATTGGGAAATGGATCCTCTTTTGAAATGTTCCGTAGTTTCTTAAGCGACGACTCGAGATAGGTTTGGTGAAGGGAAAACAAAAAAAAATATATTTAAAACTTAACAATAAAAATAACAATGACAAAGCTCGGAAAATTCGCTAATTTTTAAATTTAATCAAAAAACATATTCAATAATTTAGTTTTTCTATGACAGCTCTTTCGATAAAATGATAGTCCGATTTTTCGGACGTATCTGCTTAAACCAATATTTACATTGCAAGCCTCACAGATATGGAATAAAGCTCTGGGGCTTGTGTGGAGCAAATGGATATATATTAAATTAATGATACTAGTATTGGAATAATTTTAACATCATATTCACTTGACCCCAGAGTAGTCATACAAACGATCAGTCCACTTTTACTCAGCTTTTCAAAAGGAAAGCTATCAGACTGTCGTCCTTATTTTTGAAGTTTATAAGTGTGTTTACTCCACACAGGTATTTATTTGATATATAATAGTTTCTATTATGCCTATAAAATCGATGAAAATATATTCACGAATTGCTAAAGATAGAACAGATACAGGATTTCCTATTACATTTCCTATAAGTTTCTTATAGGAAATAAAAATAGGAACGATCGATAACTTCTGCAGGACATGCAAATGTATAGAGTCAAGTCATATTGTCGGACAAAAGACAAGATTGCACGTCAAGGGTAAATGGTCTATACCGTAGTAGTTAAGACGCAGGTTATTGCTGAGTATTTTTTAATTGACTTTTATATCGTTAAATCGATTTTTTTAGGTATATAAATTTCCAACTGAGAATTGCTTTATACGTAGTGTCTATAATTTTCAATTAATGAATTAATTATTCATTACCAAAATTTAGACATTTCGAGTAAAAAATCAATATTTTAAGGCATCAGATTTGGTCTCTTTCGAAAAAATTAGGTTCCTCATTTTTTTACAAATTATTCAATAGGTCAAAAGTTATTGACATTCAGAGTTAATAATAAACGTCGAATTTTCAGCTTTTAATAATGAATTTATTATTTGAAATGTATACATTCATAAGAAAACTTCAATTTTTTAAATAAGCAAAATTACTTAAAAATTATTCACTCGAAAATAGCAATTATCCATTATTTAAATGATTGTGATTTAAACAAAATTGAATAGAAATTCGAACTAATAATTTCAAAAATTGATTTAGCGACTCGAAAAATATGAAGGAAACGGAAGTTACCGAAAAGATTTATACAAAATATTCAATGACCCATCAGCGTCTCGTCTATCATACCCAATTAACACGTTTAAGTGTCTCATATCATCATTAGCATATAGTGTTCACCTCAAATTACGTATTTAAACTAAATTTCAGTATTCTACTTTATTGACCTTTAAAAACTAGTCGCACAGAGATCAACAGTCGAAGAGCTATTGCAAGGCAATTAATGAAAAATTTACGTAAAAAATTGCTCGATAAGTGCTAAAAAAACGCAGTTAAATGATTCGTCGAATGATTATTTCATAATCAACCAAACTCAGCGTAAAATTAGTAGGCTGAAAAATCAAGACGCTTGACGATATCTTGATTTTTTGTAATCAAAATTTTTTGTAAAATGGTTTTAATATTTTGTATTGAACATTGAATTTGTATTATTTTGAATTTATATTATATTGAATTTATATCTATTAAATTTGTATCATATGGAAATTATATTGTACTGAATCGATACTATGTCTAAATTGCATTTGACATAATTACCATCGATTGAAAATGGATTACTAATTGTTGTTTTAAAATCTAACAAATACCTTATTAGTTATTTGAAATCGAATGTACCTATATAATTTTTATCAACCTTGCCAACCTCGCCGAAAGAGTGCAGAGTTAATTGGTTTGCTGAGTTAACAATTAATCAATTCACCAAAAAAAATATAAACTAGGTAAGTTATGACATTAGTACTCTATCTAATAAGAAGTAGATAATAAATATCAAATACAAAATAAATCAGTAAGGAAAATATAAGATTAGATAATCGAATAGAAGCATAAAAGCAACAATGTCAACCTGATCCCGGTCACTAATAGTAACTCGACTTGATATGACGTACTGTGCTCTCGTAAGACTCGTAAGATGGAGCCAGGCGGGTATAGTGCATAAAGAAAATAAATTAAGTTAAATGTCTACATGTCAAAACGAACCACAAGACTACACTAAGTATGAGTACGATCGGACGAGACGAATATGCAATCTATAATAATTTTCTAGTGAATTTTTAAGGCCTTCTTAATTTTATTGGTCACCTAGATTGAGAAGCTAGCCTAAAGTGGCATTCCCTCTCTGACTCAAGTTCGATCGATGAAGCAAAGAATAAACTACAAGCTGCGCTAACTTCCATTCGAAATAGAACGTCGCAGTGATTATAAATACATAAAAAAGAACGAAACAAAAGAGAGTGACAAAGAGAGATCGAGATGTGTGTTAAGTTACCCTAACATGTTTTTATGGTAATCCGAGTTTAATGATCCCGTTGGCTGTTGATCGGGACTACTTCTATAACTAACAATTGCAAGTCTTAGTTAACAAAAGATTAATTATAGATTCTATTTTATATGACTTAGGATAGTATCTTAGTGACTTAGTATATGACTTAGATCTGGCTGAAAGAAAATTGTGGACAACAAATAATAGAGCGTATGATTTCACATCAAACACATATATAAGTAAATTTTAAAATGAAGTGCATATTTTAGGATCCTAGAATTGCAGAATATTTTTTTTCTTTAATCCTATGATATCCGGATGGATTTCACCTTATGGTTTAGGTTATAAACAAACAAAAAGTGCTCACAAACAATAAAAATTTTCGCTGAGACTGTATTTATTCGGACGGTTTACAAAAATAGTCTTAAAAATAAAAATTTTGAAATACTTATTACGTGGCTTCTAAAAATTTTGAATAATTTTATAAATAAGCGATATGATAGTACATATATCATATAACTATCATATTGACTGTGAAGCTGAAATTCTTCATTAAAAAGGAAAGTATCAGTAAAAAGAAGGTATTATGAAACTACTAACTAAACGTCTGTATTTGTATAATGGCTTTGTTTAGTAAGTAAGAATAATCAACAATTGCAGTTTAATTATAGCTAAATGTGTAAGTTTTCGGCTTTAGTGATTTTTATATATTATATATTGGTTTTATGCTAACATAAAACCAATAACCCCATGTATTTTCAAAATATAAAAGTTTTGAAAATAATTTTGGTTTTTCTGGCATTGGAAATAAATAATTATATATGCTATTAGCAGCCTGGGTCGAACTACGATCGGCGTGGTGCAAGATATTATTTTATTAGAACGTACAGATAATATTATTTGCGGTTTTATTATAACTATTATTCAGAGTAATATGGCGTAAATTAATTCTTAGCAGTGTTACTATGCACAATAGTTATAATGTGTATAATAAAACCGTGTACTATTGTCTACATGCCTTTATTGTTAAATATATTAAAGGATACCAAAAATTACTTCCGATGTGTCTTGATATAATAGTGATGGTGTTATTAAATTGATGATACGACTGAAAAACTGTGGAAATGGAAAACTAATAAAAATTACTGGTGCTTCCGTTTTTCTAATCTGATTCAAACCATATCCTGTTAAAACATCTTCATATTTACTATTATAATTACCTGTTTGAAAATATACAGTCTTCTTAGGAAGCTAAGTAATAAGTATTTGAAAATTATCTTTTTTATATCATTTTTGCAGTAAAAAATTTGTGTATTATTTACAAAAATTATTTACTGACAAAGCCTTTAACAGAAGCTATAAATATAAGAAAATTTTTCACGAATCTGGGATCCAAAAAAGTACATTTTATTTAGCATTTACTGAGATACATAAACAAGTAAATTTACATTCTTAGTGCATATACATCAAACAATTAACTTAAAATTATAAAGTGTGGTTAAAGATGCACACACACACAAGTACACAAAGTTTGTAAATAATATAGCAGTAAGACGACATGAAAAATAAAACAACATCCCAAAAGCAGTAGTAAAAGCAAAAATAACTAAACTTATTTTAAGACCGCACTAAAGCTGCGCTATATTGCAATAAATAAATAAGCGTATAAAAGACGCAATACTCGAGCAAGATGCAGGATCAAAATAAGCATCTGTACATAAATGTGAGAAAATTAACATTACTGCTTTTCTCTCTCAATAAAACGAATAATCACTGCAGTAATGATAACTTTACCTATGTATGTAAATAATGCATGGACGCTAAATTTGACAAGTTATATTCCCCGAGAGAGAGAGAGAGAGAGAGAGAGAGAGAGAGAGAGAGAGAATGTGTATGTCGCCAACTAATGTCATTAACCTTGCGTTTGTTGGGGCTGATTCTCATCTATAAATATTTAGACGTTCGCTACTACCGAGTACACTTAAAACGAATACGTCCTGACCTATGATCACGGTTAGATAAGTAACAAAAATAAAGGCGGCGCGAGGTGATTGATCAATGTAAAACAGGGATTGCCTTGGATCTGAAGAAAATTATTCAACGAAAATATGCTATAAGAAAACAATGCAGATGGCTACGTCAAGCGTTGCAGGATCCATCCGTAATTGATCACCACTGCATACTGTTATACCGGCTGACGCCACAACTTATCTGTGTGGAAGATCATTTCTCTTACTCACTCAACATTCCTACGAGTCGTATCCGAGCTGACCTAAGCGCGCCTATACCAATCACGAGCAGGTGTGCATGTGCGGTTACATACGCGCGGAAGTATAAGTGTGCGTGTGTGAACGCCATGTTAAAGTATGAGAACGCATACCTACGCAATAAATGGTGTACGTAGCAGCAACTCGGCTAACAGGATTTGCTGCTACTCAAATGGTCATCGGGCACAAGATGTAATGCACTGCGGTCAATGCATTTTTAGCTAACCCTTCGGCTAAAAGAGGGCAACAATCGATCACACATATGTTACGCAGATTATCAGTCGACGGTAATCGACAGCTTGATTCAACAAATAACCAAATTCACTTTAATGATTACTATGAACACACGCTCGCTATCTCTCTCTCTTTCTCTCTCTTTCTCTCTCTCTCTCTCTCTCTCTTTCTCTCATTGATTCACACAGCTACCTTGACTTGACTGGCTTGACTGGCCTCGACCAAACTAACTATGCCGCCCACCCAACCGGCACTCTAGTATGCTACGCTGACGCTGCCGTTGGTATATTTTCTCTCCCCCCCCCCCCCCCCCCCCCACTTATTAAGATAGCTGTGTATGTGCGTGTATACTTATATAGATACCCTTCTTTCTTTCTCTCTACCTTTGACTGCTAACTGCACCTGCCGATAGAGGGGGCCCTATTTACACGATAATTACAATGCAAGCATCAACTCTTACTAACGGTTTGAAAATTAAAAGTTCATCGGTTATTTAGTGAATAACTTTATAGTCTTACAAATGTTTTTATAAGCGAAAATATAAGGAATATGAATATTTTTACATTTGCGAAATTAGTGAATAATTGTTATTTACTCGAAATCTGTTGATTTAGAGCTTTGTAACGAAATTTGTATGAAAAAATTTTACCATTTTCAATATTATTCTTATTATATTTATGTTTCAACAAGCGAAAATAAGTTCAGATAAAATAAGAAAAATGATTCCATTTTTTTATTCAAATGACGATACAAATCTCAAACTCAACAGATTCCAAATAAATGAAAATTATTTTAAAAATTCTCAAATTGGAAAAAGAAAATTTTACTAATAAAAAAAGTCCTAAAACTGAAAAGTATAAATCAGTAGGCGAGCTCGGTAGTGAATTGTCACTACTTAGGAAAGTTTATGGCTCTGTTTATATATATAGTATTACAAATATTTTAAGGGATTATGCTACGTTCACTTTAAAAAATGTATGATTTAGTAAACCCATTAAAAAATAGTAAATATTTCTATTAAACTTCGTTGAAAATCAAAGGTATGTATAAAACACAAGGAACAATATTCATATTATCATTACTTACGAACAGCGCCGGAACCTATACTTTTTATTTTTTCTTGAAGTATACATATTATATTCAAAAATCAACTAAGTCATTTCATATCGATTACTTGCTTTCTTCAACAATGAAACGTCTAAGAAATGATTTTAAGGTGGGATACTGTTATGTGAAGTAATGTCGAAACAAATGGCGTATTAGTCATTTTATTTTACTAATGTTCTTTAGCAGTCTTTGTAGACCTTTTCTTTTATATTTTTCTGTTATTTATTACATTATTTAAGCTTTTTTTGTGACAACTTTGAGATTCTACTAGTATGCATGCGTGAATAAATTATGATGTTTAAAACACACTACATCCATCGTTATTTATCGATGAATAAAAATAGAATTGGCAGCCATTGTATCACAAAAACCGATTAACTTTTACTCATTTAAAAATATATCGAAAAGATAATCTTAAAGATTAATGAAATCTACAATTAATATAATATACTAAGCTATTATACTAATATACAGTACTAAGCTTTATATACTTAATAATAGTGGTTACGGCCTCAGGCTTAGTTATTAATCATACTCATAATATTATTAACATTAGTATAAGTATAATACATGTGTGTGTTTTTGTTGCTTTATTAAAACAACCATGAATATTCTTCAAATTTAGCGGGTTTAATATTCTAATGATTAGTTTCTGTTGCCCACATACCTCTTAATTTACAACGTACAAAAGATAAGTATGTTTTTTCTTCTATTTAATTTTAGTCACTTTCTCTCTCCCTTTTAATCGAATTTTAAAACAATATTAATTTCAATGTCATAGATGTTTAAATTAATATACAATATCGGTCATAAATTTCCGAAAATTTTGTAGAAGAAAAACTATTCTTTAAACAAAAATATTTCCGATTCTATTGATCGTAGAATAAACATTAAAAAAAGTAAATTTAAGCAGAAAAGAAATACTTTCTATAGGGTGCGAACATTTTTGAAGTTATTTTTTTCTATTTTTTATACCACTTTAAAAAGTATCAATTTTCCAAAGTTTTTTTAATTTCTTTAATCACTTGTATTTTTAAAAATATCATTTTTTTAAATATCATATTTTTCTAATTTCTGCAATTCCAGAGGAATTATTCAAGTGAGAGTGTGTATTCGAAATGGATTAGTTTAAAATTCACTTTTCGTTAGTGATGACATTCCATCGCTTGTAGCTTCTAAAAAAATTCTAGTGAAAAAGGTTGTAATTAATAAATTTTAGGGTTTTTCAAGATCTTTCGATCTCTATTAGAATTTTTTACTTAACGTCCATATTTTCAAAAATATAAGTAATTAAATGAATTGAAAAAACTTTGGAAAATTGCCATTTTTTAAAGTGGTATAAAAAATAGAAAAGTAACTTCAAAAATGTTCACACTCCATAGAAAGTTAGTATTTCTCTTCTACTTAAATTTGTCTTTTTTTTATTCTACGATCAATAGAATCGGAGATATTCTAGTTTAAAGAATGGCTTTTCTTATGCAAAATTTTCGGAAATTTATGACCGGTACTGTAATATAGAAAAATTATAATATAATTGAATCTAAATAATTGCTTATTTTGTAAATAATTTTTTTATTTTCAGTAACTACAAATTTAATTAAGAGATGATACAATCCATAAAACTTATTTTCTTTTGTATGGCGATTCTTATTAATTCATGAGGATTATTGGCATTTATAAATTTTTTTAGAGGCAGAGAAGCATAGGTTTCTACAATTTTGAAATTCGTTAACTTTAATGAAATATTCTCTTTGTCAGCTATCTTTTTTTCTTTCTCTATTACTTTATTTGTAATCATGTTCCAAGCAATAAAAGAGCCTCTGAACTTTTCTTCTTAAACTTTGAAATATAATAGTATACTCTGCAAAATTCTCGCACATTACATGCATTCGCAGACATTATATGCATTTTAAGAATTTACGCTAGCCAATTGTTTTACTTTGTTTGCAACTGTTTCTTTTAGTTTATTACATTTTGAAATTATAGAAAGAATATCATAAAAGACTTGAGTGACAGATTTGAAACAATTTATCATTAATACTTTATCAATGAATGCAATGAATTGGGAATAATCAAACTTTCAATATTTGTATATTGAAATATATAAATATCAGTTTTCAAAATGAATTTTTGATTCTAACTATATAACAATTTAGAAAATTTTACCACAGCTCTTATAAATGAAACTGATTCAACGATTGTACTGTTTTGTTCTAACAGATAATTGACGCATCTTAATTCATGCATTGTACTGACTTTCGCTATCGAGGTTGACTTGATTTTACGTATCGACAAAATTTATGATTGGTTTAGTTTGCAGCAATTCGCAAGATATTTGCAGTTTGCCGAAACCATTTGTTTCCAGGTCGAAAAATACAATTATTGGTTCAGTCTCTTCTGAAAATTTATCAATTGGAAGAATTTTATCAAAATTCTTGAGCAGTTGACGGTCTGTTTCGTTGCTAGATTCTTCGTTAAGTTACCTTTTTTTAAATCTTTTTTTTTCAAATAACCATCAATTGATTAATCAATACTCTGGGAACTCAGAGTGCCTTTATCTGTTTTTTAAATTACATTTATTTCGATACTTATTAGTGTGTTTAACTGGAGAACAATTCAATTTTGCATTGAAAGCACATAAATGTTCTTCGTCTTTAATTCTTTGAAGTACAGCAAGAGTAACTCTTGTATGAATAAATGTTGACGTACCATATAAACTAAAACTATACTGCTATCATTATCTGCAATCATTATTTGAAGCTGCAACATTACAGCTAGACAGAATATTAGTATTTTTGGTTAGTTGTACTGCAGCATATGGCTTCATAGCTTTGTTCTACCTCGACCTTACCAAACCATAAGTAGGCTAACCCACTTAACCCAACCCTGAAAGCTCGCTGTTCCTAAAGTTAAGTAGATTAGCCTGGTTGTGATTCAGAATTTAGATATTTAAAAAAATGAGCCATTAGACGATCCTTACGAAAAGTAGCACGTTTGAAAACTATTAAATCGGTTTTTCCATAAAAACAAAAACTATTAAAGTTCTACCATGAAAAAATATAAATTTTCATTTCTCATTAAAGAAAATCATAAATTATTTTTCGCAGTTGAAAATAATCATGACTCACTTTCATTCGCAAAAAAAAACACTTTTCTATCATCAAAATAAATCAAAGTACAATTCAATTTTCACAACTTGAGAAAAAGTATAATTGAACTTTTGCGGTGAAAATGAATACATTTTCATTCTCGAATGAAAAATATCAAAATTCAATTTTTATCACGTCAAAAAGCACGTTTCACTTTGAATATTCGAAAAAAAACTTCGATTCAACTGTCAATAAATCTTTTATTCCTTTCGGAAATGAACAGGTGTCATGTTGGCGCAGTCGGTAAGGTGCTTACCTTTATTTAATTATTAACGAAATATGATTATTGAATGCAATAAAACTACATAAAATATTTGTATTAATAAACTCAATTAAGCATTTATTTGTCTTAAAAAGTACAAGTATATTAATGCATCTAGCCTGTTAATTGGACTATATAGCGTTTGAATGACTTTTTCGACAGTGGTGTAAGTTTTACGTATAAAAAATATTTATTGATTTCATAATTGTTTAGAAGCTTTATATCAATAAGATGTTTCAAAAACTTTCCATTCAATATTTCAAAAAAGGAAAATATATCGATCTGATTATTGATAACGAAATATAAATTTTTATTTGTTAAAAAATTATAAAACCTTGAAGTACATATAAGTGCATTTAATCTGGTATACTGTATGAAAATAAAAATAATATATGTCCTTACTTGTATAAAAAATCTAGAACAGTTCCCTTCAATGTGCAAAATATTTATATTAAAACGAATACGACAGAAAAAAAATTATTTAGTATCACTGAACGAAAGAATGAAAGAAATATTACAAGTATTATTTCAACTCCATTCGTTTAAAATATTATCAGAAAAGTAATGATATTCAGAAGGAATTGAATTCTTATCGAGCATTTTTCTTAGATCATTTTTTTCTCTTTGCCATTATTAGTTTTATGATTTGAAAAATCATGTTTCACTTGTACAAAATCCTGATTGAATTTTACGACCATTTCTCGTAGAGGCCATTTTTATAGGTACCCAATTAAATAGGTTAGAAAATTCAGCATCATCTATATTTAATTAGAGCATAAATATTTGTTTGTCCAACTTCTTTCACAGTGGAACCTTTTTGTTTTTTTTCTATCTATCCTCTCTCATTACCAAAAACCATTGTCCCTATGTATAGATGTTTCTGTGTTTTACCGCACGCTTGATCAGTGCATGTATATTTGTGACCACGAGATGAAAGTTTATTCAATCAATTTACTTATATTTAAATATGACGTATAGAAAAATACATAGTATTTAATGAAATAGTAGTATTTAATGGAAAATTCTCAATTGTAGTTTGAAGTTAAAGAACTGGGCAATTGCTGGATGTAGGTTTAATAAGTATCTGGTTTTAATCTGAAAATAATACACATAAATATTTTTTTGTTTTGTAAACTTTGTGATAATTTTACTTTTTTCAAATAGAAATCTTAGTTACTTAGATTTTACTAGTGAGTTGCCTACACTTGTACGCTGCAATATTAATCTGGAAGAGAGAAATGCAAATACTCATTCCTTGTTTTGAATTGATGTTTGGTATCGAAGTAATAACGTGATTACTTCGGTAGATTGCATTGATTTTTACATGACATGCTATACGTAGATATCTTAATTGAATATCAATCAATAATAGCTATAACTTTTAACAGGTAAAATTTGTAATGGCCACTACAAATTCAACGTTGTACCATTTTAAAGCCTGCAGAGAACTTCTAATCTAGGATACTTCTTGTTGTCAAAAATTTATCCAACAATCAAAAGATCTATCAGTTTCTTGAATATGTGCTATTGAGATATAACTGACGTATAAAGATCAGACAATAGTCTAAAGGATGAATGTCAATTATGCAAGTCTAAAACAATAATGTAATAGAAATTTTATTTGGCTAAATCCTAACACGTTAACTAATGAGTGATAGTCATGAATTTTTTAATATATAGTCCTATATGTTGACCAGGTTGATTCTACCATTTAAGCTCGTAACTGGCAATGGGAAAATAGACATGATGCCACTATATTCCATAGCAAAAACTTCAATGATACTTATACAAAACAGATTCAGATACATGAAAACTAGGGTAAGATATTTGAATGTCTACATACACTGCCGTCGGACGACTTTTGCTCGCTCTAGACCAAAATTAGCAAAACTTCAAAGTTTTATATCTCAACTCCAAAACATGCTACAGTAATTGACGGAATATGATATTGAATGTCTTTTATAGAGCTTTTGAACCATAGAAAAATACACATACGATTTTCCTTTTTTATGGGTTGTGCGACATAAATAAAATAAATTTTATCCGTTTTTTTTCTCGAACTTTAAAGCGATGTATTTTCGCGAGAATTTATCGGACAAAAAAGCTAGATATACCATACAAGAGCTCGTTTGAAAAGTTACAAAATCCATGTGCGAGATTTTTTAAACTTGTTTTTTATGAGCTACATATCGTTTTACAAAAAACTGACCTTTTTTTAAAATTCGTTATATCTCTTAAAGTTGTGGTTATAGAAAAAAATGTTGCATTTTTCATGGACTCGCTGTCTATTAGCTTGAAATATAAAAAATGAACATATTTTAAAAATTTTTTAATAATTAAAAAATAGCGAAATACTGTTGACCACTAGTGATAAGAGATTGAAATTGCAAATTAAATAACATGCAGAATTTTAGAAAGGGTATTCATATAAGTGTTTACTTGTTTACATATGTATATACATATGTACGTATGTAAGTATATAAACAGCATTATTCGTGTTATTATGACGATATTTGAAATTTTCAAGAAAGACTGTTTCTATTGTGAATTTTCCTATATTAACAAATTAATATAGCTATTATGTATTATTTTCGTTATTTTCTTTAGTATTTTATATTTATAGATTATACAAATTATTTTATCTAAAAAAATTATTAAAAATAAAAAAAATGTTCATTTTTTATATTTCAAGTTAATAAGCAGTTAGTTCTTGAAAAATGCAAAATTTTTTTTTCTATTAAAGTTTTTTTTATAATCACAACTTACAGAGATACAACGAATTTTTAAAAAGGTCAGTTTTTTATAAAACGATATGTAGCTCGTAAAAAAAAGTTAAAAAAATTTTTTCGCATGTGGATTTTGTAGCTTTTCAAACGAGCTTTTGAATGATATATCTAGTTTTTTTATCCGATAACTTCCCACAAAAATACATCGTTTTAAAATTGAAGACAAAAAACGGAAAAAATTTATTTTATTTATAATGTACACAACCCATAAAAAAGGAAATCATATATGTATTTCATACGGTTCAAAGGCTCTACAAGAGACCTTTAAAATCATATTCCGTCGGTTGCTGTAGCATGTTTTGGAGCCGAGATGTAAAACTGAAGTTTTGCTAATTTTGGTCTAGTGTGGGCAAGTCGTCCGACGGCAGTGTAACTATACACCAAGTAGTATTACAAGAAATAGTAGTATTACAAGAAATAGTAGTATTACAAGAAATAGTAATATTGTAATAATCATAAAATAGTAAAATTAGATAAGTAAAATAATTATGTAAATAACAACTATAAGTATATAATAAAATAATTTTAATATTTTTGTAAAATTCTTGAAATACAAAATTTTTTCTTATATTGTAGTAATGTGTATACATATTTTAAAACTAATTATAGAAACTCTAATAGACTTTTTCGAAAATGTTCATACATATTAATCACCTATATAACTATATAATTAAAAGTTATCCATGTAATAAATAATTTTAAAAACTAATCACTCATTTTAACGTATAATAACGATTTAACAAGGACATAAGAAATCTTATGCATTCTAAAATATCAAAATATACCATATAATAATTGTATATTACAAACACTCATGGTAAAGAAAAAACTGATCACTTTAAACAGAAAAACTGTTTCATCAATGACCTTGAAATCAGATCAGCTAGATAAACATCCTTCATGACTATATCTTCTATACACAGTGAATTTTAGGATTATCATAATCTCTCATTCTTATATAAAGCCTCTAACAAAAATAAAATTATTATGCTGAGTTCTCAATTAATTTATTATTTCATTGAATATTTCAAGTTATCTTTATTTTTTCAACACGTGCAAAGAAATTAAAAAGAAAACACATAATATTTTTCTATTTTCAACTTTATCACCTTTAATGTTTTTTACGAGTATTGTTAAGCGCGCTTCGCGCGCTCATCTTTTTTTTTGTATTGATATTGAATCTCATGTTTGAATCAAATCAAAATAATTATAAAATATACCGTTTACATAAAGTAGTTCTATGTTTTAATTAACATGCTTAACATTCGTCAACATTAATTTGTAAATAAAAATCCAATTACACTGATATTCACAGATTTAGTTATAATTTCAACATAAAATAGCGATAACTTAACAGATCTTTAGGTATTAGCTAATGAATGTCCATACATAATAATACATAAATAATGGACAATGTATCAAGTTCATTTCTCTTTCATTTTTTTCCGAATACCCTTGGTACTGTCACCTGCATCTGATAATTTTCTTTTCTTTATTTTTTATATATTTATCTATGATTTAACATTTTTTGTAGGATATCTTCATATTAACAGATGTTTCCTCTTTCGGTTGATTTGAAGCAGCACTTTTCGCAAACTTTATTTCAAAATTTTTACTTCCGGCAATATAACTATTATGTTTTACCTATTCATCCGTAACAATTTCAAAGTTATATTTTCATTTATAAGTTTAATTTAAAAATGCTGTTGAATTTTTTTTTAAATACTGACCACATGAAGTGAACGCCTTGAAATGAATGCTAGCAATTGTCTCATACTTAAATGGATTATCTCCAGCTATGGACGTGAATGTTATTGTTTTTACCATTCGAAGACTATAACGCTAACAAAGTATGTACAATTGAGAACAATAGTTAATTTGACGCTATCTGGTCTTAATTTTACTTTGATAGCAACTTATTTTTTATAACAAAAGTTTTTTTAACAGTAATGCCTAATGAGTCTTTCATATTTTGTTTATTATTCATTAATCAATTCATTATTAGTATAATATAGCATGCTTATTTTATCAATTTCGAAGTACGTAAATAAGATATTATGCCAACTATCATTGACTAAAATCAAACTTTGAATTTAAGAAGTTTTATAATTAAAATTAAAATTTTTATTAGATTAAGTATATGATTCTTACGAAAGAAAAATGTCTTAAAGTTTTTTAACAAAGCCACAACAAATCACCGCACGAGCAGTTGCTACCGATCGCTACTGTTAGTGTCTTATGCAACAACCGTTGAAATAGTTGATCTTGCTCAAACTTTAATCATTTTCACTCAATAATGTGATAACATTAAAGTGATTAAATCATGAAATTGTTTGATATAAATTTCTGTTTAATTAAAGCTCACCGATTTTTCTTAAATTTTTACTTTGTTGAAATGTACCAATGCAAGGCAGATCGGGACTTTCTTTTCGTGATTCATTGCTTACCTAAACGCGATGGAAGGTAAATTATACCAGTCAAAAAAATTCTAATGCTTTCGCCACAAACTGAGTAATACTATCGAGCTGCTAGTATTTTGACTAATGTGAAACGGTAAATAATAGTGTTAAGGGGCAATCGAGTTGAATGCTTGCGAAATATAGCGTAGAATCGACTCGGTTAGCTCAGGTTAAAAAAAAAGCAGAAAGCGATTACGTATTGATATTGTCGTAAGAACCTATTGTTAGTGTTTTTTATCAGCTATAAAAGCATTTGTCCGTAAATTGACAAGTCAGTCAATAGCTTAACCTGTGAGAAGTGAGATCAGAGAAATAACAGAATGTTATCGGGTAAAGGCGAGTGGTGGCGATCGTGGATCGCGCTGGCGATTGTAGTAATCATATCAGTAACAATAGCAACAGCCAAGGATGTCGATGTACGCATAAAAGACTTAGATGTGGCAGCAAGTCACCATAACCACCACAGCGAACACGGTGATGGCCAAGAACATCAAGGGCATCATCACGACGAACACGGCGAGAAAGGAGAAAAGGGCCACCATCACCATCATCACTATGATCATGGAGAACACGAACACTTTGGAAAGAAGCATGAAGAAGGACATCATCATGAACACGGTAACCATAAGAAGCATCATCATGATGAGCATGGCGATCATGGAGAGCACCACGAGCACGGCTATGAACATCATGGGAAGAATCACGGTCACAAAAAAGGCCACAAGAAAGGCGAAAAAACTCATGGCTACCACAAAAAAGCTCATAAGGACGAATTTCACAAGGAACACAAGTTTTACGACGACCATCATCACGGAGGGCATCACGAGAAACATGGACATCATCACGAGCATCATGGAAAAAAGGAAGGTCAGCACAACAAGGGAGGTCATCATCACTCGAAACATCATCACGATCACCACGCTAAGAAGGGTCATCACGATCACGGACATCACGACGAAGATCATCACGGGCATCACGGCAAGCACGGTCATGAGGAGCATCATCATCACCATGAAGATTGGGCCAAAAAAGGTCACCATCATCATGGAAACAAACATCATCATTCTACAGGTCATCATTGATTGTATTCTTTTTTTCTTATTTAAATAAATCGCTGCGTTCTTGTATAAAGTATTACTATTCCGAACCTCTATTTTCACCAACAGTTCCAAACAAAAAATTAAGCAAAATCTTACATACTTTTTCATTTTTAATGATTAAAAGTTTGATAATTTGATCTACAAAGCTTGGAAATTGATGATATCTGCAGTATTTCGAGCTTTATTCGTGAATTCATAAAAATTGGCAAATGTATAAAAATATAAAATGAATAAATTCAAATTTAACCCATTAAGACCCAGGCCAAAACTGGCACTGACAGCATCCGACTAATTACGTCATCCTTTGCATAATCGAATAAAAAAATACCTGTATTTTTTCTTGTGTCATTTACAATTGTTTACAAAAAGTTATTTAAACAAATAATCATAAAAGTTATTATTTTTAAAAACTGATTGCAGCAATTGATTATACGGGAAAAATCACGAAGAAAATTTCTATAACGTTTTTTTTTCAAAGGTTAATTTGTTAATGTAATAGGGTAATAAACAATCGTATTTTGTTTTTATTCTGACATGCAAGTGTTTATTACCACTTTAAACCAACAAATTGACCTTTGAGAAAAAAACGTGACAGAGGGTTTCTTTGTGATTTTACACGTAGAATCGATTGCTGCAATCAGTTTTTTTCAATTATAACTGAACGCTCCTTTAATTTAAAAAAATCGTTAAATTGATAAAATACTTTTTATTAAGCTCTAAATTGATTGATTCATTTAGAAAAATATTGATAATTTTACAAAAGTTATTAACAAAATTATGGTTAAAAATTTATGGTTCGTTGCGATATCATTCCAGTAAATTAATTCTATAATTGCATGTAATTAATACCAAGACTTCAAATTTGATACAAGTATTGTTAGATCATTCATAAATAGTATAGTATTAAAAAAATTTAGTTAAGAAAATTTATAATAAACTTTTATTAATTGAAATTACTCATTTCATAACTTTCGAGGTTATAATTTTTAATAAACCAATAAAAGTACTTATCCATTCTTAGAAAATATTAGAAATTTTATAGTTCAAAGAGTATGTCGAAATTTTTCCGCTCTAACCATCTATAACTTTCAAAATGAAATCGATTTGAACTGATGAAACACTTTTTTTCGTTATATAAAGTCTTCTCTGACAACCTAGTCCAGGGAATATTTATTTACTAATTTTTTTGCGGTAAGTAAGATTCTAGCATAGCATTCTAGCATAGCATAGTTAGAATACATTCGTCCACTTCGAGCTCACTCTTCAATCATTTGATGACAGAGAGCTTAGGTACATTAAAACCGGCAACGGTTTGAATTTCAGCTTCTTCCGTTACAATATCTTGTAATTCTATTTCCATATTATTTTCTATATTAAGTCAATAATACAATTGATTGTGTGACATTTCAGTTTCCACTATCTTTCTGTTTGTGTGAATTTTAATATATAAATAAACATCCATTCATCTTTAATTTAATTCACTTTTGATCATGATAAAGCCTCGACGAGATGAAAACGCTTAGAATCATAGAAATAACAATAGTTGATTTATCCAAAGAGATACGTTACTTTTATACAAGTTTTCATACGGCCTAAAACCAAAGGTCAGTTATCATTTATTGTATTGCGATCTTATAACTGCCAAACTAATAGAATACTATATCATTTTAAGATTGATAAAGTCAACAAAAAATATTAAAAATAAATATAAATAAATAAGCAAAAAAATATAGTAATTTCATAAATTATTATTATTTCTAAATTTAATAATAAAACCACCTTTTGTGTTTCCAGCAGTATTTTAATAACAAATAAGAGGTCACTCTACAATTTTATGACATTTAAAATTTTAATAATATGGTTTTACTCATAAAATCTCTTAATTATAGAAACCAGAACACTAAATACTAGCATTTATCAAAATTAATTACATAATGTTTTCATGTTCGAGACAAATTGCAAATAAAAAGTTTTCTAATGTATTTGCAACAACTTATACAAAACCGATATAATTAACATGAAGAAACCGAGCATTTAACGTCCTATACAGATACCGGAAAGTTTATTGTTTATATTATTGATAACTATGGCTGCTCTATATTGAAATTAAAAACCCTTTTCGATATAAAATCGAAAAAATAATTTTTAATAATTATGAAGTTGTATATAACCAACAAGGATCGATGCTTAAGTGTATGTCTTTGTTGATATAACGGATCGAAGAAAATTAAAGGAACCGAACCTCTAATATTCTAGACTTACTTCGAGAAGTTTTCAATACTTGAATTGTAATATTTTTTATAATTTGTTTATAATAAAATTATAAATAATCTGTAACGGAATACGACCGATAAATCAAATTGGTTAACCTTAAATTGCGGTCCGCATAAATTATTTCAAGACTGGATACGAGAAGTGCGAAGACTTCTACGGCTGAACAGTATACCGGGTGTGTATACTAATCATACGCGAAACTAACATTGAAATAAGGATCGGTGACAGGCGAAATCCAGTAATACTTGCTTAATTTGAACTCACTTTAATTACACAAACATAACATACATAGAAGAGAGTGCGCCAAATGATGTCACAAGAGCGAATACAGTGACGAACAGCACGCAATGCCGCAAAATGAATTACCAGCGAAATGTACTGTAACTTCTCTTCTTTATTTCAATGAACGCGGTCAATCGTTACGACCGATGCAGGGGTCCTGGTAAGACTGCACAGCCACACATACATGAAAACGACGAACGAACATATAAGAGAAAAGGAGAGAGAAAAAAATACGGTACCGACCTTCTACGATGCGATGATCGTTGTTGTTGTTTACTGCTGCTACTGCTCGTCGATGTTGTCATCGCTGTTGCAACTCGGTTTTCAAACGATCCAATAACGATGAATAATATTCGCCTGTAATGGTTTTACCCTTTTCCAGATAGTCGATGAAGATTATTCCTTGCGAATTCCAAAAGACAGTTACCATAACCTTCCCGGCCGAAGCAATTGTCTTCGCCTTTTTCGGAGCAGATTCCCCCTTGGTAACCCATTGATTAGACTGTTCTTTGGTCTCAGGAGTGTAGTGATGTATCCATGTTTCATCTACAGTGATGAAACGACGCTTAAAGTTTTGCGAATTTTGCTGGAACAGCTGCAAACCATTCTTGCAACACTTCACACGATCTCGTTTTTGGTCAATCGTGAGTAATCGCGGCACCCATCTAGCGAATAGCTTTTTCATGTCCAAATGTTGGTGCAAAATATTATGTACCCGTTCGCTCGAGATGCCTACAGTACTAGCAATCTCACGCACCTTCACTCTTGTGTCAGCCATCACCGTATCATGGATTTTATCAATGATTTCTGAAGTGGTAACCTCAATAGGGCGTCCAGAACGTTCAGCGTCTTTTGTGCTCATATGGCCACTCCGAAAATTTTGAAATCACTTATAAACCATTCTAATCGAAGGTGTACAATCACCATAATGTTTATCAAGCTTCTGTTTAATCTCCTTAGGCGCTTTGCCTTTGAAAAAGTAATGTTTCGTCAATACACGAAATTCTTTTTCGTCCATTTTTTTACGACCACTCGATTTCTTTGATTGAAACGAATGTAAAACGCAAAGTAATTGGCAGATCTGGCTGAAACTTGGTGTGTGCTCTTCCAAGATATGCCAATAACTGAAAATAACCTTGATACACACTAGTAGCGCCATCTCTCTGACTTTGCACGGACTTTTCAAACGACCCTCGTAATTTCTTTTGACTGGATTCTATTTAACGTGACATCATTTAAATTCTCACACATATCTCTTGTAGGCAATAAACAGACATTGACACGTAATTTTTCTAGTGAATCACATAGTGAATTCATTTTTGCTTTGCTATCACAGCAAAACAGATTCAACTTCCGTTTTTGCAAGGTTCCGATATCTGACTTTGTTACAATACCCATTCGAATTCTACCTAAAATTTCAGCATATGTCTTGTCATTTCTTTGTCTCATATTGATTGTTAATTCATCGAAATCAAAAAACGACCACAAATGGTACGAATCCGTCACTTTTAAATATTTTAATACTTTTTGTTTAGTTAGTTCTATAAAAATAAAGTCTTCATTAACCGGCGGTAGTTGTAATAAATCACCCAAATCGGATAATATTTACTTTTCTAAACCAACCATCTTCAATATTAGAGGTGGTTTTAATTTGTTGTAATCGAAAATTAATGTACATGAACAAGACGTTCTGTTCCAAAAGATCTTCTGAATTTACTAGAAGACGTGTATTTTTGTATACTTTGAGCTAATTCAAGGCATTCCATACTTTGAGAATATCAACGTCATTTTCCCATATAACTTTCGTCTTTTTCGGATTAACTCACAATAATATGTATATTTCTTGATTTTGCAATAAAATATCAGCTGCAGGGCATATTTTCTTTAAGGTTTCTTTAAAGGGGAGTAGTAAATGAAAAGTTCCATCGATGATTTTGTCAATTTTAATATGATGTATTTGTTTTTTCATAACAGTATCTTTTTTTACGATGGTTTGGAGCATTCTTTGAAGCAATACTTATTCAAAGTTATTAAGGATAGCCATTTCATTTGGAACTTCATCTGTGAACATGTTATTCAAAATGTAATTCGAAGCTTTAGTATTTTTGTTTAAATTAGTTTGGCAATCACTACAGATATAAGCCTTTGCAATATCATCGGTATTGTATTTCAATAATTTATTGAGAACAGACTTATTTACATCAAATAATGAGAACAATGCAATATTAGCTTCATCAGCAGTTTTTTGTACAGGCTTCAGTTGCCTCAAGCGTAAGAGTCACTTGCATGAAATACATACAGTAGCAGGAGGAGCCTTATTAACCCATTAAGTCCCAAACGCACAAAATTTTAACGTTGACTTTGACCGCGCATCATTTTAAAATAAAGGAGGGACTTTGAACTCAAGGCACATATACTTATGTTTT